TTCATGTTTTAATAAAATAGTGTTCTAAAGTCTACTCCGTTTCCTGTTTTTCTTTCTTCTTTATTATCCATATGAACACACGTGGACTCCTCTTCATGTTATATATATATATATATATAATAATATATATATGTATATATATAATATACGGTACAAAGTTCCTTTTATTTCAGTTGTATGTCTCTGGTGGGAGTCGAACCTGCAACCTCTAGCTGTCAAGACGATATTATCGCGTAATACGTCACACAAGTCAAGTTTGTCAAACTTAAATTTTGAAAGAGTGAACAAACCTAAAACTAGAAATAAGTGATGGTATAAGCCCTAAGCTTTCTAAAGGTCACTTGTTTTGTCTAAACCCACATTATGTTCTGACAAACAAATGCGGAAATCAACAGACAAATCCGCTTTTAGGTTTCTTCTAATCGGTGAGAAAGCTAGGTACATTCACATAAATTTTCGGATCGGAAAGCCTACCGAACCGATGAGAAGATCGAATCAGTTTGTAAGAACATATAGAGGCTCACGTTAAGCACATCGGAAACGGGGTTCCGAATTTCGGGTCGGATCCGATGTAAATGCAGCTTAAAGCGTTGCTTCAGCCATCAGCTTACTATTTCTACCTTTGATACAAATTATTGTCTGAGCAGTAGGGGCCTACTTCCAATAGCACAGTACTTCAACACTCGATTTGATTTAACTTGTTTGTTTTCGTTTGACCTCGAGTTCGTCAAAAGTTCATATACAATTTGTTTTAATAAAGTCCATTTCAATTATTATTAGTATTAACTATTCGGCCCTCACTCATGGAGTTTCTTTTTTAAAATATGCACCTAATTCAAAATAATTATCCTATCCCTCGATGACGACATAGAGAATCATTAGGTAAAGTCAATACCAATAATAATGACAATAATATAGGAATACCTCATTTCGATTAGGCCATAATGTATTGAATTATGCCTATGTCTATATACATCGAATTCATAGATTATAGAAAAACGGGAAAACATGACACTTACGTTTATATTGAACCTTATTTACCAGAAGCGTTGCTGGCGATATACTGACTCGGATTTGTAGTTCCCCGTCTTCAAATGATTATATATAATTACTGTATAGAACTTCTCTTGTATTTATTTATAGAGAAGTTATGCACGCTCCAGAGACTATCGTGAAAGACGGTAAGTACCTTTGCATCAGAAAAGAGGCTTTGATCTGAACACAATAACCACGTTCTAGACTACGTTGTCTGTATTGTGACAGGACTTAATAAAATAATGCTTATTGAGATTCTGACCTTTTGCAGCTGTAATCCTAACGTAATGAACGAAGCCAACACCATCATGAATCTCTCTATGAGCTTAGGCCTACTATTCCAATCCTATTTTCATGACATGTGGAATAGTTTCGTTTCAGAAATATTTATTTGGAGTGATGTGAACAATGATTATTTTTTTTATCCATTCATTTACCCCATCGCACTGTTTAATTTAACTCAACTAAATTAAATCACATTAAGTATTATTGATGATTTTGTGGTCTTTTTTAGCTAACCATTCAGCAATTTATGTCAGAAAAGACGAATTAAACTATTAAACATCAGAGTCTATTTTAATAGGTGTTCTTTTTGTTAGTAGGCATAAACACACCGAGAGACCATTTGCCGCTGTTAAAAAGCGTGGTAAGCTTAGGCCTATTCAAATATGATATTATATTTACAATTCATTATTTACATTCCCTTTGGATCGCGCTTCGTATCTCTAATCATGGAGCTCTAATGGAATGGTCCGTCTGTATTATAAACGTCAATGTGAAGTCGATGGTCTTTCCGTTGTTGACAAGCTTCCAAACCTAACGTAAACTGTATTTACAATAGGCGTAGGCCCCATTGATCACAGCAAATTGGTAATGGTAGGGGGTTTTGCTTGATACGATTATTACATCATTATTCTAAACACAACACTCTGTTATTGAACTATGTGTTTATGTATATTATAGTAAGGCTTTACAATGAAGGCCTATAGATCTCTAAACTGTCTTGCGGTAATACTATAATTTTATGTATAAATAAAATCGTTTTTACTACTACGATTTATCGTTTTCCCATGATTATGACGTTATTTGTGAAAATATTGTTTTATCGTATACACGTTTAAGTGTGAAAACTTTTATTATGATATGAACAATTGCGTTTTAGCTTTTATCGCTAATCGTTATCGTCATAGTGTAAACAGGCCTTTAAACTACATTCACACCAGATCCGAACCGAAATTTGGACCGCGTTTCCTCGATGAACAATATTATTAGGCGAGGCGAGGAAACGCGGCGCACCGGCGTCCCAATTCTTTACACACTGATTCGATTTTTATTAGTTCGTTAGGCTTTCCGATTCTAAATCCGGATTCGGTGTAAATGCATTCTTAGTCATTCTCATTATAATGATGATGATAATGTTTATAATTATTGTAAACATAAAACATATACGGTAATGAATTAAGTCAAACTTTATAGTTATATACATACTTATTTTAATATTTTTTCGTTTGAACATGATATATTATAAAGTACAATTGTAATTACAAACTTCTACGAAAATATATTATAAAAATACATACATAAAAAACCCTACAGAAACATCATCTCCTATATAGTTAAGATTATATACCCATATATTTTTACAATTACTTGGTCATAGCGTATAAGGCTAGACCCATGCACTTTAAACAAAACTACACCTTATTTAACTTATTGAAAATAAATTATAATTATAGAGTAAATAGTTAAACAGATAACATAAACTTAAGTATTATCAAAGAGGTAGGCTTCGTAATTTCAGGCATTTATTATCCTGTATTACTATTATACTAAATTGATGGATACATTATTTTACAATACAATAATATTGTAGACCTACCGTAATCAATTTATCCAAAAATTCCGATTACGAACAAGCAAATATATTGACTAATTGATTGATTGATTATTCCTATTGAACTTGCCTTTCCGCACACGGACTTACGATTCGAAAGGTGAATGCAACAATATTATTAGAACTTTCGTTAATTGGTGAGTAATATTTAATGAAAGCTAATCAATTATTAAATAAATCAATTCAATTTTTGTGATTTTCAATTGTTTATGTGGAATAGGCAGTATATAATTAGTAATCATAATTTTAATAATTATCTTCGTAACCATTTATTTTATGAATAAATTTGCTGTCATTTCTTTTTTTCTTCTTTTTTGGCTTCCCTTTTATTGTTTTAATTGTTAAAAGAGTGTTATGCTGTTATTCTGTATTTTATCATTGTCTATATTTTTGCTTGCCATTTTTATATGTATGTTTGTTGTCTTGTTTTAGTTTGGAGAGTCTCTCGATAGTAATTAGGTTTACCTGAGGTTATCCTCCGGCTTGCGTCTTTGTCTATTTGTATTTTATATTGCCTGAAAATAATAAATAAAATGAAATACCTCGTTCTAACACGGAAAAACAAACTATAGGCTTGGGCCTACACAAACACAGTACAATTAACAACAGTAAATATATGATAAATGATGATAATTCAAAATTTTCAACTGATTGTTAGATACAATTATCAAATAACATTCAAATGGTTAAACTGAAAATATGCTACAAAATTATTATTAGGGCCTATTGGAAGCTCCAAATTCAGAAAAACGACACTGAATATACAAAACGACATAATACATAGGCCTACATTAACTGGAAGAACAGTGAAGCCGGGCACACTGCGCAGACGGTCGTCGCTTGACTCGACTCCATGGAACGCAACGAGACGCAGCTCTCAACGGATCGTTTTTAATGACAATCCATTTTTAATGACTGCCATCGACAATTAGCAGACGGCGTCGACTCGTCAAGCTCTCACATAGAATGGAGATGGATTTGTCGGCCGCAGTTGTACGGCAAACGGACGTATGCACCCGGCGTACCGTTTTACTGAAGAGGCCACTCAGTAAAAGAACAAATAAATACAAGTAAAATAAATACTGTAAAATACCTTTGTACATTGCCTGACGATGATCATTCGATACTAAAATGTTATTTAGCGATATGATGATTATCTCGACGCCTTGAAATACGGCATTTAGATTAGGACTTCATTATATGGGTGTGCCTATAGTTCGACTAAAATTAACCAAGAACCAGCAATCTCTTTGTGAGCTGCTCAAACTTCAACTTAAAGTACAAGATTAAGATTCTGTGTATAGGTTTTCTATACCTGAATTCCAGAGGTGGCACCAGGATTTGCTCGACGGGGACCGACGTCCCCGACTGGGGTGGGGAACCGATGTCCCAGACAAAAAAAGTGGGCGTGTTCGGGCGTCGCTCAAAATCTCTCGAAAGTGTTTCAGGGAAAATACATAGGGCCTATACATTTTACATAATCATTTTATTTCTCGACGTATTGTGGTTTTTGTCCAAGACAGGGGTGGGGTTAGCTCTCCCCGAAGGTGGCCCTGGACCCGGCCCCCGCTGGCGCCACCCCTGCTGAATACATACGATGATGAGTAACATTTTTTCATAAAGTTTAGTAATAATCATATTTATTATTTCTGAAACCTTCATTATCTTGGCCATAATCATAATCAACTTGAGGGCGTGGAAGACCGTTTGTCATCTGGGCACGCATATCCGATATACCAGTGTAATTACTTCTTTTCTTTCCATAGTCCAAAACAGACGCGTTTCCATTTTGTTTTGGTCTTCTTTGTCGCTGGTTCACTGGGTAAAGTGATTCAGATCCATCGAAATGGTATGGTTCTTGAGGAGGACCTGGATCGAGACCACCACCACGTGGCAAAGAATCATCTCGGTAATCCTGCATTTCGTGTTGGCTTCGACGAGTGCTCGAACTTCTGGAGATGGCCGGGCCTACTGCAGGTCGGGCTCCGTAGCGGGCGTACTTGTTAAGCATAGACTCAGCATGTTGATCCTGACGGGTGGTATAGGTTGGTTTCCTACTCCAGTTATGTTCATGGTGGGTTTGTTCGGTCTCTCGTGGCCTAAGATGATCTGCAATCAGATCGTCATTGTATCTGCTATGCCGGTTAGGAAGGCCACCATTTTTTAAACCATAATCAGATTGATGTGATTTCGGAGACGACCTTTTCGAAATCATATATGGTGCTGCAAAAGAAAAAAAAAATAATCAAATAAATGAATGCCATGAATTAAGACAGTTAATATCATGAGTCCGGTATAGCCCAACTGAAGCAAAATTAACACATCAAAGCCTGGAGGGCGGTTTTGCACAACTAACGCCATCCATGACGGCGGTTGTGACAATGCAGTAAGCACAACCAATACAAACAGTATGGAATTTCAAAAAGCCCACATCCAAATATTTATATTTATGTATTTAAAATTAAGTAGGGCCTAATTTCTATTCGATTGTATAGTCTGTTTAAAGCCGGGCTCTTACTGCGCCCGACGGTTGTCGGCCGACGCGATTCTATGAAGAACGCAACGGATCGTTTTTAATGACGATCCGTTCAGACGACCACTGACAATCAGCAGACGGCGTTGCGTGGTCTAGCGCAGACAGGGAGCGGATTCGTCGTGCTACGGTCGTACAATCGTCGTACGACGCAGTGGGTGGCCGGGTTAATGCGAACATGATATTTCTGCAAAACCAGGACTTACGTCTATACATGTCGGATTGGCCGTCATTTGGATCATCTGGATAAATTCCTTCCTCTTCGCTCGTCTTTTCAAGCTTAAAGATAATGAATAAATGTGATTTACTAATAAACCCAACTGACAAAATATATAAAATAACAAACGAAACGCCAGTAACCTTTGGTCTTCGCATCAACCAGGAGACCCAAGTTAGAATCTGGATTGCAGAGGCGAACTCAATGGGTTCAGTCTGCCCCAGACCCCATATTTTTTTCCCAGTTACAAAAAGAAATTCGGAGAAAAGGGAAAAAATTAAATCCTAAATATTTCATGTTTGAGAGTGCTCAAAGAACCACGGCAATAGTTTACTTTGGCTTTAATGCTTTTTCTGCGTATGTATATATATTTATATGTTTATTTATATTTATGTATTTAGAATAATGTAATTTCTGTTCGATTGTATAGTTTGTATAACTGTTATGTCACCTACCGTACGTACTATACTTTTGTATATATATATATATATATATATATATAGGCCTATATATATATATCGCGTATGTTTATAAGTATATATATATTATGTATATATATATATTATATATATATATATATATATATATATATTCTGTGGGAACGTGCATTATCTGATTTCTCATTACACACTGTATATTTGTACATAAGTATTAAGATATTATCTTTGCTAATGACCTCTGTTTATACAAATATATATATATATAACATATATATAACATATAATATAATGGTTATAATGAGTATTACCTGATCTTCATCTATCATGGTGCACGAACAGTATCCAATAATAATAAGACACATTGTTAAGACAAAGATGAAGCATGTTAGGCCTAACTGTATTCTCCACAGCCATTCTCCCGTGTCACTCTCCATGGTGAGTGTCCTATTGAAAATATCATGATAGACGTCCCCTTTGTCTCCAAACAGGGCTAGGAGCTCTAAACAGATGTAGGCAAATGAAGCAATGACTGATAACGTTGAAAAAACTGCAATAGCTATACCCTGAAAGAAATATCAAAATAGTGTATATTACATTTGAATGACACATTTATAAATCGACTACCTCTTTATTTATATACATGTTAAACGGTAAAGTAGAGGAATTTGTGAGTGTGAAAACAATTGCCCCAACACCGGAATTCGAACTCGGGACCTTCTGCTGTCTATGCAGAGGCCTTAACCAGGCTGAGGCTATCGTCAGGAGTTCGAATACGATTGGAGGCAATTCATCTCGCACTCTACGGTATACCAATACAACACTCGTATTTGACACACACACACACACACATTAAACACAAACGACAAGAAGAGATCTCCAATAGATAGTTGGTCATTCAATATTAAATAAATAAATCGGTGAATTATTAGAGCCCTGGTTCTCAACCCCCACCCGCCCCCAAATAAAAAAAAATATCTTTTTTACACTATCTACTTAGAATATTTGATTAGCGTTGTTGTTGTTATTATTCTTTTTGTATATTGTATTAAAAATCTGAATAAAACTTACCACGGCTGAATCGTAGCACATAGTTCCCATACAAATACCAAAGATCATAGGAACAGACATCTGTTGAAGAAATTATACAATAAGTCTTAGTTGGTATATCTTGCATTTGATAAAGGTTTATTACACGAATATTACAAATACCGATATTGCTCATTGGATTTGTATTTGAATTTATTTTTGGTGTAAACACCAATGATAACCCACGAGATACTGGAGATTCTCGGAGATATCATGCTCTCTACTGAGTGCTCTTGTTTTTAATATTACTTACCAGTACAAGCGCAATAACAGGGGGTGTGTACCAAAGAATAGCAATTTCCCATTCGTTATCTATATTAGTGTTTTCGTAGATCTCACAATACTCGATAGCACATGCTAACCAGACACCAGTATTGCACAACGCTGCCAGTAACGCTACGATGCTGACAACCAGCACCGCCGTCTTTCCACAGGCACCGTCTTGCATCATCGTGTATATTGTGGTAGAATTTGTTCAGAATGGAAGCTTTCGACTCTGAAAAAAAAAATCAGACTTTGTAGTAGTACCGGTAGTAGTGGTGGTGGTGGTGGATGTGGTGGTAGATGTGGTGGTGGCGGTGGTGTTGACGGTAGTAGCAGTGGTAGTAGTAGTGGCAGCAGTAGTAGTAGCAGCAGCAGCAGTAGTAGTATAGGTGGTGGTAGTTTTGGTGGTACAGTAGTAGTGTAAGTAGTCAATATAAAAAATATATAATAATACGTATTATCATTATTATTATTATTATTATTACTTTTATTATTATTATTATGATTATTATTATTATTATTATTATTATTATTATTATTATTATGTAATATAATAATATTATTAAGAATGTATAAATCCAAGTTGGGAAACGTTTACCTTTAGATTTAAAGCTAACAATATAAAGTACCTTTACTTGACCTTTCTAAAAATACTAAGCAGCTTTAGAAATAGTAGAAAAATACAAAACCATTAAATAAGTTAACAATACTTTTGAGATTTATAATCATGGTTGTATTATACGCTCTAATTAGATTTGGTAAATCAAGCGACAATTCTGTTAAAGTGACAATGGGACACAGTGTAATATACACTTCCTATCCAAATTTTTGCTGCTGGTCAATTTTTTTTATATATATCGGCGGGAAGTCCCTCAGATTAATACAGGTCACAGATTATAGCATTATGTGTAGACCTCTAGGTAAATTAAACAGTTTGTCGATAGTCACTAATGGGTAGTAGATCAGGTTAATATGTTATTAACCTACGTACAGCACCAACACATCCTTCAACTTACGCAGTGGTGCAGTTACTGGTTTGGCATAGCAGCATGCATGCTCTGCTTCAAAACCGGCGCGATTCCGCCAATTTTCGGGGTTATTAAAATGACCCCTGACTGATATAATTATAATTAATAAAGCCCTGTCCAGACTATCACATTTTATTTGACAAAAACAGGTGGCATGCCTAAATATGGTCATGATAACATTATGACCATATATAGTCACACGATGGGCATACACTGGGCGGATGCAGGATTTGGCGATAATAGGGGATGCGTGAGGGTCCACCTCACTGCCCCCACCATGGTTGGGGCTAAGGGAATAGAAAATTTTGAGAATAGGGACCTCTCAGGCGTTGATCCAGAGTTTTAGCTCGGTTTCCAAGAGTCGCTCACCCTATCGCCGACAGCCGTGACAGTTGTGGTTCACAGACGAATCGGGGTGCCTTCCCGAATGCGCAGGGCAGCTGCAACGCAATCGGAAAGGTTGAACCAGATTCAACCTTCCCGACAATTGTCGGCGACTATCGCCGATAGGGTGACGGTGAGCGATTATATGGAAACCGAGCTTTACCCTGACTATCGCACATAATTGGGTCCCTGAGTGGGCGGGGTCATGGGAAGAGAACGTAATGTTTGCTTGTTCCGTCGCTGGAAGACTATTTTAGGCGTGGGGCGAGGGGTGGGGATGGGTGGGGGGGGGGTCGTGGTTTGCGGTAGTCTTGGGGTTCTCCTAGCTTCGGAAAGTTTTGTTTTTTCTAGCTGCTGAGAAATGCACTTACGTGCCTTACGAAACTTCTATTGATGAATCATAATACACACTGAATTAATAGATTTCCCACATTTTAGCATGGACAATTAATAATTGCAATGATGAAGATGATGATGATGATGATGTGATGATGATGATAAGAAGGAGGAGGAGGGGGCATCGTAGCAGGGGATGACAGTCTCCTGTGCAAGGTTAATTAACAGGCCCTTTGATACGAGTGTCAGCCGAGGTCCGTATCCCGAGTCCGTCGTCACATTTTCAATGCACACAATCGGACAACAGTAATTATCTATAAGTTATATAATCAGTACATTCTCGACTGTCATGAAAATATCATACTGTATAGGCCTATCTAAAACATTACGTTATATGCATGCTCGGAAGCGGAAAGTTTAACTTAAGAGTTTAATATATGTTTTATGTTGTTTGTTGAATGGTCTTTAATGATATTATATTCTAATATGACCACAACATAAGGAAGAACACTTTGTCCCCTAAAAAGTTCAGACACATATACATTTATATTTCCTTAGGCCTAAACTAAAATTTTGTTTTATTGTGTTTGCTGAATGGTCTTCTTTGAATATATTACTGTCTAATATGACCACAACATAACGAAGTCCATTCTTAATAGATAGTATAGATTGTTTTTCAAAATCATTATACACATGTTAAATCCAATTTTTTTAAAATAAATAAAAAATACGTTTTCATTGCACGCGCCGAGGTGGAAAGAATAACCTAATAATCTTGTTAATAATGTGGTTGTAAAATTAATCTTATGACCACAACTTTTAAGTTGGAACTTCAGAAAAAATAATAATGCATTTTTATTGTACCGCCACCAGCTGGGAAAGTAATTAAATGTGCATAAATGTCTTCTGTGATTGGTTGATTGCCAACATTTCAATGCTTTAAGCCTAAGTGTTTTATGGTCGGATATAATAATGCGTAACTCTCATAATAAGTTCCTATTTCGAAAAATTGTTTGGAGTATGATCACGTTCCATGATTATATCCACATGGTGCCCCTACGCCAAAATTTCAAAATTGAATAAATTGCGTTTTTGAGTAGATTAGGCCTACTGGTTAAAATTTTTACATTTAAGATTTTATTTTTAATCACAAATTTATATTCAGTACATTTTCGACTCTCTTGGAAATGTGGACCTAATCAAATTTGGTTGGGTGCGTTGTACACGCTCTTCGTAACACCCCACCTACTGGATATACGGGCCTGGAAACTTTACATTTACTTGCCAATTAATACAGATTTATACGCTTATTAGATATCTTCTCAATTTCTCAGTATTTTTTAAAATAATTCTTTTTCCACTTCCAACACTGTATGATTTGAAATTTACATGCCATTCACGTCGTTGCTCTTCTTCAGTTTCTGTGTTCATTTTCAGTCTCTCAGTGCTCAGTGGTTATTTTTTACTTTAAAGGTTAAAGGTTATTCATATATTGCGCAAAATACGAACTTTCTTTTTAGATGTACTGTTTAAGTGTGTTTGTAAGTTTAAGATCTAGGTCTACAGGTAGGTTACCAACTCCATGAAAGACTCGTTAATAAAAAAGTAATTAAAATAATATGTTTCCGCTTTGGTGTAATTTTGGAACAACAAAGTATAATAATAATAATAATAATAATAATAATAATAATAATAATAATAATAATAATAATAATAATATTAATAATAAGAATAATAATAATAATAATAATAATAATAGTAATAATAATAATAATAATAATAATAATAATAATAATAATAATAATAATAATAATAATAATAATAATAATAATAATAATAATAAAAGAACTCAACAGTGTACCGTACGTTATTACAGTACGGATTTAATTACAGTCCCTCTTTCATTAATACTTAGACAATGCAAAAAGTTTATTTTGTCTATATATTTTTGTCTTTGGTTTAGGTAGGTGGTATTTCTGACAAAGAGTTCGAATTCGCCAGACCACCAGGCACTGCTATCACTTTATATTGGCGAATGGTGTGAAGAGGTCTGGACCCGTGCCTGCCTCTAGGTGCCCGGAAATTGCACTCTCATATTTTACAACAATACAATACTACAATTATTTTTCTTGATACAATTTAGGGGGTGCGACCGCACCTCTGCAACCCTCTACACCCCTCTGCATCCGCCCCAGATACAACCGGTTTTTGTCAAAGGAAATTTGATAGTGTGGACAGAACTTAACATTAATGATGCTTTATAAACTAAGTTTAATTTCGAGACTTAAGCCCCGTCCAGACTAACACCTTTTATTGGATAAAAACATGTGACATGCCTAAATATGGTCATGATGACATCACATCATCACCTTACAGTATATAGACACACCATGACTATATATGGGCATACAACGCTTTTTTGTCAAAGAAAATTCGGATTTGAACCCATTACCATGCGATTGGAAAGTCAATGTCTTAACCACCAATATATACACAAACAATTACCACTTGTCACAAGTCTTACTTATGTGTGGTCTATTATTTTTTTTAAGGGACACGCCTCAGTCAAACAATCATGTTAGTCAATGAACTCCATTATGATGATATTGGTTAGCCATTCTCAATCACAATAGCGATATCTCGGAAGTAACATTCATTATTTACACTTACTCGTTCCCCCTCAATTATAATTCGGATTTAAACTGGTTTGTACACCAATCATCGTAGAAAGGCTCTATAGGCCTACCGTTTGTTATTTAATTTAAACTGGATCATAATACAAATTCAGAAATTGAGGCCTACAGGTTATAATCGTATACAGAGTCCGTTGGTCGTAAATTCAAATATATTTAAATATTTAAATGAGATAATACTTCAACTCTTGTTCGCCACGTTGTGAAAGAACTCTCCATGAATGGGTGATAATTTCCAAATGAATGCCTTTATTGTAGGTCTACAGTGCTAGAATTGTATTCATTCTTACTTTCTGCTGCTAACACTAAAATAGTATACAAAACGAAACTTGATGTTAATTCAAGGCGAATTGTGATATTTCTTGTATTCTATTTCCTCAAAATAAGCAAAATGCAAATATTTGTTATTATCAAAGAAATACCGTGTGATCGTATAAATTTCATCAATATACCGTACATTTTATGTATATAATAGTAAAGGAACATTGGTATTTGTTAGAATTATAAACACGTTAGAACATATCAACTGGCATGGAAAGAACGAGGTTGATTTAGGCTTAGGTTTAGGCCTATTGCAGATCTTCAGTTTTCTAGACGGAACTTTCAGTGGCATTTTCTGCAACACATCATACATGTAAATTTATAGAACACAGGCATATAACCAGTGTTTCAAAGGGGGGTAGAGAGGGATTCCTATGAGGCCCAGGAGCATCTAGGTGTCCTAGTCAGAAACAAGGAAGGAACTAGAGCTGGAGTATCCTAGCATGTAAATGAGGACTTTCATTAAAATTTAATTTTGTTTTTTTTTAATTGTTTTTTGATGGAAGGATTGGTAGGGGGGGGGGTAGTTTGGTTCTATGAGAGGATTATTCTCAAAAATGGGTCTGGGTAAGTTCCTAAGCCATAGTAACTTCCCTGTGGACTACTAAATGTATTTCTAAAGCTGAAGTTGAAGAAATTATCTATCACGACCTTTAAAAGTGAAACGCTATTAATATCAACGATTTTTAAACATCATTAAAATAATTTCATTTCATTCATTTATTTCTCACTGAACATACAAGTACACAATGCACGATACATTAAAACAGTAAAACAAACCCAAAATAAAAATTGGGTCATAAAAACATTAAAAGACAGAGGAAAACCAAAAACCTAACTGAACGTTACAACAAACGACAAATTAAATATAATACATAATAAATACAACCCAGATAGTAAATAATTCTTAAAAACACACATGCTCTTTCGTGCAACGTAGCCTACTCCTATGATCATTGGAATATCTTTTACAGATTTTAGTTTACACATTCAAGTATCTTATTATACTCCCTAGGTTTACTCAAGAAACGATAGCCCAGTTGCCTTGTTATACGGAGACGAACACAATATTTGAACATACACAAGTAGTGTATAGTGCACTTACTGTCTTAGCAATGTCAAGAAATTGAATGGGATATCGAGCTGTTTATTTTAAAGCAATATTTGAAGACTAGGTGTTGCTGATTTGTGTGGGAACACCCATGTCTAGGCTTATAAGTTATATAGGGCATATCTATATCCTTCAAATGTACAGATTGTTTTCCTCTTTCTCTTGCTTTTGCGGTAAACCCACCATCATCTTTAGGCCCTATCCCTCAATATGTTAATTGTCAACACTTCAGAACGACACTCTCATAGACTATATATATATATATATAGACATATATATATATATATATATATATATATATACAATAAAAACATATATATAA